GAACTTTAAAACATTATTTCGTTTTAACATGATTTTTGTTTCAGCTGTGATAAACACTGACTGACGAAATGAAAATTGGGATTTTATCTAATTATTAAACAGACACTTATAAAATATAACAAAACTCTCCAGTTGCTGAATAGAAAGAAAAGATGAAGTTTAGGATTTTGTTGAGTTTTTATATTTCCAAACAGAAACACAGAAAGTCCAAGTAAAGCTGGACTTTAATTGGACCGTTTCTCTTCTGCTCTGTGGTAAGGCGGCCATCTTTGATTGTGAATTAACTTTCTCTGATTGAGGATGAGCGCCCCCTGCTGGATGGAGGACAAACTGCAACACTTGTAGAAGGACTGAGCTGACATTATTAATGGAGTGGAACTCATTAGTTATCCTGTCTCTGAACCGGCCCAACTAGAACCTTCTGGATTCAGCACCAGAATCAGCAGAAGGTTCTGCATCGTCACAGAGCCCAAACCAGGCCGGGCCTGGGCCGCTGCCGTCCTCTACGCCTGCACGCCATTTACCAAGATAAACGAGTCCGACCCACAACCCAACATGTTGAAAGAGCCGTATTGGAGCCAAAAAAACAAAAAACTAATTTGTTTGGAGCCGCAAAAAAGTAAAAGCCTGATATACAAGGCAAAACAGGCTCTAGGTGATTATATTAGCGTATTATCAAAATGACAGTGTAGCCTATACATAATTAGTATTCATGATTAAATGTTTATTTTCCCTGCAGTGCATCCTGGAAGGAATTACGCATCACGTGACTCTTCTGTTGTACGATGGAGCTTTATGTTAACCTTCTGTTACAATATGAACGCATTTACAAAATTAAAGAAACGCAATAAAGAAATCAGATTTTTGATATCATTTTTATTATGAAGAGCGACAGGGAAAGTGTCATTTTTTTCTATTTTTGGAACACGGAAAATCTGCCCCGAAATGCAGTTTGCATAACAACGATCGCTCTTTGTAAATAATCACCGTTAAGTGTAATAAATCTACAAACGGAGAGTAATAAAACGGCAGCCTTTTGAAAATGTAAAGTATATAAAATTAAGATTTTAAGTTCAATTTCTGTGCAAATGCCAAGCAAATCAGTGCAACAGTAACACAAAGCAGCCATGAGCAACGACACAAAACAATATCGCTGAGTCATTCTAAATGTGTACTGATGAAAATTACTGTATGCTTATTTATGTATGTTTTCAGTTTTTTATTTTTTTCCAAAAAATGTGTCGTTTCGGCTTTCATTGAGGTGCGCTCCGGAAAGTACGGGACTCTTTTAGTTATTTGACAACTTGTCGCTGCAGAGCAAACATTCAGGCAACGAATGCAGATGATTCGGTCCAAGAATTGTAGAATTTAATGTTTCTTCTACACATTTTTATAGCACTGGAAAACGTTAAGAATGATTGTGTCGTGTTTGTCCTCCTACAGAAACCATAATAAAACAAAAAATATATTTCCCAGCCCCATCTTTTCCCATTTTCAAACATTTTTGATGAAGCTCCAAAGAGCCACTAGGGCGGCGCTAAAGAGCCGCATGCGGCTCCGGAGCCGCGGATTGCTGACCTCTGGCCCAAACACATGCGCAGCCTGGAGGCTTTAGGTCCAGAACCTGCCCAGAACCCGGACCATCTCTCTGCACGCCTCGCTCACCAAAGATGTAGACGAGGCTGGCGGCCCCGCCCACTCCCATGAGCCCCGCCAGCCGCAGCACCATCTTCTTGGCGTAGGCAGAGTTCTCCTTCTGCTTCCTGTCCTCCGTCTGCTCTCCGTCCTTCTGGCCCGGATCGCCCCCTGGTGGCGGCTGACCCTGGAAAGCAATCAGACAAAGGTTTGGTCCAACTGGTTCTACTGAGCCACTCAGAGTCAAACATTCAGTCTCACAGCTTAAGCAGCTGCTGGATCCTCCATCTGTAGCCCAGAGCTTAAGGAGACGGCAGACATGTTTGATACGTTCGCCCCCAGAGCCGGGCCTGGGCCGCTGCCGTCCTCTACGCCTGCACGCCATTTACCAAGATAAACGAGTCCAGCAGAACTCAGCAGGCCAGATTGTTCATACGTAACAAGGAAGCTCAAAGTGCTTTGCATTATAAAAATACAAAAATTAAATCATAAAAACATCAGTAACCATTGAGAAGCCAGAAACAAACATTACATTTTGCCCTCATCAAAATCATCTAATGCGGCGGTTTTCAAAGTGTGAGGCGCGCCTCCCCTGGGGGGCGCCAGAGCACATTAGGGGAGGCGCGGTGCGAGGGAAAAAATAAACCGAAGAAGAAGCTATCCGCTTGCTGTCTGCTGATATGAGAGAAAAAAATTGACAAATCTTTAGTAAACGTGTTCATCTCCTTCATTTCAACCTATCTCTGTGAATGTGGGTTTTCTGCTCTCGCAATGATAAAAAGCAAATCCCGGTCAAGGTGCTGGTTGAAGATGATCTGCGGTTATACCGCTCCACAGCGCAACCCCGCATTAACCGGATTTGCGCATCAAAAGCACATTGTTCCCACTAAAACGAAGGTGAGCTGAACAGTAATGTTGCCAATTTAGTTAAAATCATAAATAAAATGAGTTACACATGTTTCAGGACCGGGGCGCATAGCGTGCTGAATGTTTTTTCCTTTGTATGCCTCCGCTCTTCCATACTGCACGCTCTTTTAGCTCGAGATAAATTGTTAGATGAGCCACAAAACGAGCTCACCAATTTTGCAACTGTTTAGGTTTTTGATTTTTTTTTTAATTTTAAGAAAATGTGCAACATTTACAGATGTGTTTCAAAGATCTGATCAAAATGTTTTTGTTAAGATGTGAAAACACTGTTGGTATCTCAAACTTTAAACTCAGAATCTCAGATGTAACGTTTGTTTGAGAAAACAGTTGAAAAATGAGTTTGGGGTTGTTCTTATCATTAGAAAAATGAAAAAAGGGCGTATTTGCCATCCAAAGGCCCTGATAAAATAATTAAAATGGGAGAAAATGTTTTAAAATGTTCATGTGTTAAATTTCATTCAGATAAAGTGTCATTTTAAAAGATGAGATGTTCTAAAATAAAAGCAATTAGAGAGTGTTTTGTAGTGGCATTTGTTTGTGTGGGTTGATTATTAGGAAGGGGGGGCAGCAGGCTCCTTAGAGGGGGGGCTCACCCTTTCATACTTTGAAAACCTCTGATCTAATGAATTGATCAATGTTCCAGTTATTACTAATCAAAAGCAGCTCTAACCACAATAAGGACCTTTAGTCTGGACTTATAGGTTCTCAGGGTTTCAGCCGTTTTTCAGTTTTCCAGAAGTTTGTTCCAGATTTGTGGTGCATGGAAGCTGAATGCTGCTTCTCCATGTTTGGTTCTGGATGCAGAGCAGAACCAGAACCAGTAGACCTTGTCAAGTCTGGCAGATTGATACAGAAGCTCTAGTTCTTCTAGTGGCAGCCCAAGTACCACTGGTAGAACTCGGACCTCATTTTGAGAACCCGGGAGGAAATGATGATCTGCAGAAGGAGACAAAGCCAGAGAACTCAGAGGTACCGGGGCTGCAGCAGGTCCTCCACCATCACACCCACCATGTTTGAAACCATGAGGAAGAGGAGGAGGAGGAAAAGGAGAAAGAGGAAGAGGAGAAAGAGGAGGTGGAGGAGGGCGGCTCTTCCCCTCTGACCTTCACAACAAACAACCCTTGAATATTTCTCTCCCAGTCTGACGCTCAGGCCGCTTCGGAACAGAACCGGTCCAAACAGCGGCGCTAGCAGCAGATTAGCAGCGAGCTAACAGGAGGCTAACAGCAGCAGCGGGAGGCTCATTAATTACCCTGAACTGCCCTCAGGAGCCCACACGTCCAGAGATTAGCGCTGCCTCGTTAGCTAAATGTCAGACTGACTGAAGCTAGGAGGGGCTTGTTTGAATATTAGCACAGGAGCAGCTCAGACGGGCGGAGTTAGCGGTGAACAGCGCTGTCTCCGCAGCTGCTACAGCCTGTAGAGCAGAACGAGCGCCTCCCTTACCTGACTCTGCTGGAGCCTCTCCTGGAGGATAGCCTGGGCTAACCCTCCCGTCGCACCGCCGGTACCGGCTGGGTTCTTCTCCGTGGACAGAGTCCGGATGAGATCCAGCACCTGCCGCGGGCAGGAAGCTGCTGCCGTCCCGCTCTGGAACCGCAGAAGGCTCCGGCTCGCTCTCACACACATGGGGAACATCGCGGACATCTTGGATCCTGGCGTTAGCTGCCGGTGAGCGCCTGTGACGTAAACCTGAGGACAGAGCTCCTGATTGGCTGGAGTGTCTTGGACTGGCAGGCGCGAGAGGCAGTAACAGAAGCGTGGGGTCACGTGGTTGAAAGAGCAGGTGGGTTGTATAAAAATTGAACCAATCAGAAGTGAAAGTTTGCCTGACCTTCGATTGCGAAAGAAAAGCATCGTTACCGTGATGCTTGATGGCCACGTGCCCAAAGAGTATGGCAGGCTGTCTTCACATAAAGTTGGTTTCACCACGCTTACATTCAAGACATCTTAAATTGGTTAATGACTAGACATATTAGCAAATTGAGACGTTAGGTCTTAAACCAAAACAAGCATTTGCAATGGATAGAAATAAATAAACAGCCCTTACTTTCCACATATCTCAAATTGTTTTATGACTAGCTGTTTTAGCGATTTGAGATTTCTCAAATTATATTCTGTCTAGTCAAAATGACGTCAGATTTACCACTGGGTCATTATGACGTGTCAAAACGTAAATTCAAAATATCTCGATTTTAGTTTTGACTAGTCATAATTCTAATTAAAGATATCATAATTCAAGAAATCTTACATTAATTTTTGGATAGGAGAAATGTAGTTTTGACTAGTGATTAATTATAACAATCTTAAGAGCAAATAATGACTGGACAAAACTAATTTAAAGACATCTTGAATTGTAATTTTGACGAGTCAAAATTCCTTATAAGATATCTTTGAATAAATCAGAGATATCTTGAATTACACAGCTTTTCTATTTAAGATATCTTCAATTAACATTCTGACTAGTCAGAATAACACTACTCATATCTTGAATATGTATTCTGTCTAGCCAAACATTCCTGACTTGCATGGCAATTTTAAAGTTTAATAAAACAATGAAAAATAGAAAAAACAAAAAAGATGTTTGAAAATGCACAACTTTCATGTTGAAAATGCTTTGACAATAGCAATTTTAGCAAAGGTAAAATTGCTATTGTCATTCGGTTTGTCATTCTTATAGGTGAAGTTTTGCGTTCTCTGCATTTCTAACACTTCTGAGCTCTTTCTACGTTGTAGCATTGACTGACAATTTTGTGCAGGAAACCTAAATTCTGCAGGCAACTATTTGGACAGCACCAGGGCAGCATGGGGGGGTTATGTCCATCCATCGTGGGGTCGGGAGTTGCTGGTGCTCCAGCTACGTTCCGGTGACTCTGGACCCGGGTTACACCCTGGACAGGCGGCAGGGCAACACAGAAACAGACAACACAAACAACCATGCACATACACACTCACAGCTATGGAGAATTTAGAGAGACAGTCATGTTTTTGAACTGTGGGAGGAAGCCGGAGTACCCGGAGAGAACCCAGCACGCACAGGGAGAACATGCAGGAATCTTTCTGTAAGGCAACAGAGCTACTAACTGCACCACTGTGCAGCCTGGGGGGTTATGTATGGTTCTTAATTCTCATAAGTAAAAACGTTATTTTGATTCCAGACTATAAGCCGCTACTTTTCTTCCACCATTTGAACCACGTGGTTTGTAGCCCGGTGCGGCTTTTCTTCCACCACCAGGGGGCTCTTCAGCAGGAAGTGAATCTTTGAGAGTCAAAATTGAAAATCAAAGAAGAAAGTGCTGATTTTCATTTAGAACCAGTAGATGAAAAGAGCAGACTCGACAGAGAAACTTTTTCAAACTCAACCTGGAAACAACAGGAAGAAGTTGATATGATGCAGCTTTTAAGTTGAAGGCTGTCGATCTGCCGGGTCGGATCGACATCCGCCGGGTCGGATCGACATCCGCCGGGTCAGATTGATATCTGCTGTAAGCTCGGTGTGAACGGATCCACAGTTCCACATCCTTAATGAGTCCAGCAGCCCTTCACTGTGTCTTTGTTAAAGCAAAGTGGCAGAGAGAAACTTTGTGGATGCAGCTAATAGTAAGGTGCGCTCTATAGTCTGGAAAATACGATAGATTATTGCTCCAATTTATGTCAGCGACATTTCTACGGCTGTGGTCTTGAAATTGACCGGCTTAGAGAACGGAGTTCAAATTTGATTCAAAGTGGTTCAGTTTAGTTTTTAATCCGTCATTCAGATTTATTTTCCGTCATGATAAAAGTTTCTCAGAAAGCGGTGTTTTGTGGTAAAATGTATTTATTAGTGGGATCATTGAAAAACACAAAGCATCAAAGATCAATTATTTTACATGGAAAAGAAACAATTATGTCAGAACCACCTTCCAATAACCAGAAGCTGGACAGTAACTTGTTCTCAGTCATATTTTACTTTGAGCCCAACCTGCCTGATCCGGTTCTACTGAAATGGATTTCTGCTTCTCATTAAAAAGCAAACGTGTGTTTCTGTTCCTTCCAGGCGCCAGCAGACGTTCTTCATTCAAACAGGATGAAGGTTCTGGGCCTTCATCATAACCGGCTCCAACATGGCCGCCTCGAACAGAGCACAAGCGACGTGACCGAGATGCAAAGACATAACCATAAAGTTTGTTTTTATCCCAAAGACAGTGAAATAAAATGATGTATGTTTCCATCAGAATGTTAAACCCGAGCGTCCTCTCAGGAATAATCCGACTGGCCCTGACCCCTGACCCCTAACCCAACATGACCAGGAGTCCTGTCCACCAAGTAAAACACTACTCAGCTTTCACTGTGAAAACTGGAGCACAGACACATTTAGAAAAGTGCTGCACACAAAAATATTCAGATGCATGAAGCCCTGAATAGATGGCAGCTACTGCCTCATAAACACATAATCAGGTAAATCAGTATCAATACCTGGAAGACGTCACCACCTGAAGCAGCAAGCATGGCAACGGTGCATGCTTTTAGTGATATTAGTATTTATAATATTTATACATTTCATTCAAAAGATGCTTTCATGGCACATAAATAAAAACTTTAAAGAAAATGTAAAAAAAGATCTGAGTGGAAAAGTTTGTCGGAACAGCAGACAGAGAGACAGTTAGACAGAGAGACAGTTAGACAGAGAGACAGTTAGACAGAGAGACAGTTAGACAGAGAGACAGTTAGACAGAGAGACAGTTGCACATTTATAGAATAGAAATTGTGAAGAGGTTTTATTCGTATTAAATGATGTTCCTTTATGTGTCATATAAATGTAATGTTTTTTGTATCAAGGTGTTTTTCTGTGCAGCTGGAAACGGTGTACAAACTAATGAACCAAGATGTGTCTACTGCAGTAAGTTTCCAGGGTTGCTGAACTTCCCCAGACAGTTATTTGGGAACTCGCTGTTTTTCCCGTGGCCTTCCTTGCATGGAGACAGAGTGTTTAGTTTTCACCTCCCGTAAACATTACAGTGAATGAGCATACAAGGTTTCGTATGTTTTGCTTTGTTTCTTTTGTTTGGTCTTCGAAGATTGAGTCTCCGCCTCGGTAGTAAAGAGAGATGAATAAAGTAACTATGCAACTCTGGGTTCCTCAGAGCGGATCCTAATTTGTGCCTAATGCAGTGAATTTCTTGCTCTCGGTCTGCAGATGTATTAAAGATTGTTTTTGCTCCCTAACTTTTGTCTGGATCTCAGTCTCTGAATTATGTACTTCACAAAATGCTTTTTGCTGACAGGTACTGGTTCCAAGCTGGTACTGGTTCCAAGCTGGTACTGGTTCCAAGCTGGTACTGGTTCCAAGCTGGTACTGGTTCCAAGCTGGTACTGGTTCCAAGCTGGTACTGGTACCAAGCTGGTACTGGTTCCAAACTGGTACTGGTACCAAGCTGGTACTGGTACCAAGCTGGTACTGGTTCCAAACTGGTACTGGTACCAAGCTGGTACTGGTTCCAAGCTGGTACTGGTTCCAAGCTGGTACTGGTACCAAGCTGGTACTGGTACCAAGCTGGTACTGGTTCCAAACTGGTACTGGTTCCAAGCTGGTACTGGTTCCAAGCTGGTACTGGTTCCAAGCTGGTACTGGTTCCAAGCTGGTACTGGTTCCAAGCTGGTACTGGTACCAAGCTGGTACTGGTCAAAAGTTTACGTAAACATTACGTTCATTTTTATACAAGATGAGGCCTGACACACTCAGACCCAGACCTGACAAGAAATGGAGCTGGTCCGGTTCTGAAAGCCAGCAGCAGCAGCAGCAGCAGCTGCAGCAGCAGAGCGTTGACAGGAAGTTAACTCTTCCACACATCATCGTTTCCTTCCTGTCTCTGGAGTCTAACCTGCTGCGTCATTCAGCACCAACAGCCACGGAGTTCAAACGGATTCATTCGGACCTCAAGCTGACAAATACTAATCACACTTTCATCTGACAAAAACATTTGGATTATTTTATGTTTTCAACATAAAACATGGACAGAAAATAGCCAAAATGAGTCGGTACCAGTTTGAGTCCAGAACCGGTACCGCGCTGAGGTTCTGTTACCAGGAGAAGGACGAAGTTCCAGCATGGTGAGTGTGAGCTAACCGTGACTAAACATGGCCTCCTGCTGAACTCTGGAGCACCAGGCTGGTTCAGAACCGGATCAGAACCAGGACAGGAGGGCAACAGAAGATCAGAAACCAGCCATGATTCTGGTTGGAGTCACATAAATATCAGTAATCAGCTCAGATTTCAGTCAAACTTCTGATTATTTGAAAACTGGAAGGTTTTCATTTGGAGCTGATGGTCCTTTCCGAATCGCCTGGTTATTAAAATAAATAGAAAACTACAAAGAGCTTCTAATAACAGCTAATATTTACAGACAAAAGGAACACAAGGCTTCAGCCTCTTTGTGGCAGTAACAACATACTGCAGCTGGTGCTTTAGAGGCTGGCCTTTGACTAGACCTTCTGACATGTTACAGTGACAATCAAACCAGCTTATTTTGATCAAAGGACTGAAATGCTCTAATTGGTGACTGACTGACTCAATCCTGTGCTTAGAGGCAATCCACCCAGTGGCCAGACTGTTTCCTGGTTCTGGTTCTGTTCAATCCACCCTTGTGGTTAAAAGGAGAAACTGCATCCTTTAAATCTGTCTGGGTCAGATGGAGCTGGTCTCTAGGATCAGTGTTTATTGGCTTTGTTTTTTTCTTCCAGATCCAATCTCTCCCACAAACATTACAGCTGAAACAGTTTGTATTTTCCAAGATAAACCTCAATAACCTAAGAAACAACTAAAATGATCCGCCATCTTTCATTAAAGGTGTAACCGTAAAGTCCACAAACAGATTCCATGAATCAAATACCATTCCTGTTCACAAACCACATCAATTTCAAAACAAACCTGTAAGGTGTATTGACTGGGTTAGTTGTGAACTCAAAGTTCCTCCATAGTTACCTTTCTAGGCAACTTTCTCTTCTCTGTGGATCTTCATGTGTGTATTTAAGGTGGATTTGCGGTTAAAGTGCCGCCCACAAATGTCACAACCAAACGGTTTTTCTCCGGTGTGGATCCTAACGTGCCTGTCTAAACTGGTCTTGAGGTTGAACCGATACCCGCAGACGTTGCAGCAGAAGGGTTTCTCCCCTGTATGGATGATCATGTGTTTCTTCACACTGGGCTTCGCTGTGAATCTTTGCCCACAAAGATGGCAGCCAAATGGCTTCACTCCCGAATGCACTCTCATGTGTTTGTTTGCAGCCGATTTGACCATGAATCTCTTCCCGCAGAAATCACAGGCATACGGTTTCTCCCCTGTGTGGATTCTCAGGTGGAAGGTCAGGTCGGTTTTGTTGGTGAACCTCTTGCTGCACTGAACGCAGCCAAAGGGTTTCTCTCCTGTGTGGACCTTCATGTGTCTGGTTAAATGTGACTTGCGGCTGAATCGCTGTCCACAGACGTCGCAGTTGAGCGGCTTCTCTCCGGTGTGGATTCTCTGGTGGGTGTTTAGGTGTGACTTGGATCTGAAGTCTTGTCCACACACGTCACAGCTGTAGGGTTTCTCCCCTGTGTGAATCCGAATGTGTGCCTTCAGATTCGCTTTGTAGAAGAATTTCTGCCCACAGAGATCACAAACAAACAGTTTCTCTCCACTGTGGATTCGCAGGTGTGAATTCAAGCAACTTTTACTGGTGAACCTTTTAGTGCACTGGTTGCAGCCAAACTGCTTTTCTCTGATTGGTTCCTCTCCAGAGTGGGCTTTCATATGTCGGTTCGCTGCCGACTTGTCCTTGAATCTTTGCTCGCACAAGTCGCAGCCAAATGGTTTCTCGTCAGAGTGAACTCTCTGGTGTGAGTTGAGGCGGCATTTACTAGCAAACTTTCTGCCACATTTCTCACACTGGAAGGGTTTCTCCCCAGAGTGGATGGTCATGTGTCTGTTCAAGTGAGACTTTCGACCAAATCTTTGTTTGCAGATGTCGCAGCCAAACGGTTTCTCCCCTGTGTGGATTATTGTGTGCAGGTTTAAGTGACTTTTTCTCTTGAAACTTTTCCCACAGATATCACAACTAAAACATTTCCCCTCCTTCCCGTCAGATCTTTGTTGTGAATGACTTGCCATGTGACTCTGAAGGGAGCGCTTGGAGGCGAACCGCTTTCCACACTCGGCGCAGCTCCAAGGTTTGCTGTGAGTTCTCCCCTTCGCCTTGCGAAAGCCGCTCTCCTCACAGTCGTCTTCACTCCCTTCGGTTTCAGCCTCAGAGTCTGACAAGGGCTTGAGTGGAACGTCAGAATGGTTCTCCTCATCACCCTCATCTTCCTCGCTGACCTCAGTGTCTGAAGAGCTGGAAGTGTCTCCAGGGGTGTTGGGATCTGGGATCCTTCTGGATGTTCCTCCTCCTCCATCCTCTTCATCGCTTTCTGACTTCATCTGGTTCACTGAGCTGATGCTAGGGAGAGCGCCCAGTAAGACCGGAGGTTTCTCCTGCTCCTCCTCCTCATCTTCATCCTCACTCTTCACTCTTCTTCTGGTGCTCTCCATCTCCTCATTCATGTCCACACTGTCCCAAAGCTCCTCCTGCTCCTCCTTGACCCGGACAGGTTCTGGGTCCCAGTCGGAGCGGGGCTCCTCCGGGGAATCTTCTCTGACCGCAGCAGAGGAGCGAACGTCTGCAGGGAACCACAAGATGGACGTTATGTTGAAAACATAGAGAACTAGAACAGCAGCCATTAAAAATGAACCCAACATGTTTTCTAACATCAATCATTCAACACTTCTTAGTCTCCTCGGCTTCACTCAGAATCAGAACACTGAGCCTGGTTCTGATTCTGTTACAACATCCTGGAGTTGTTTCTGTCCACTGTTGCCCTGTGCATCCCTAAGAAGAATGCATCCATCAATTTTCAAACACCTTGTCCCTACTGGGGTCAGGAGCTGCTGCTGCCTGTCCAGCTACGTTTCAGGCGAGAGACGGGGTCACCTGGACATGTCGTCAGTCTGTGGCAGGGCAACACCGACAGACGACCACACACACTCACACCTGGGAGAATTTAGAGAGACCAATTTCCCTGACAGTCCTGGTTTTGGAAGCCGGAGAACTGAAGAGAAAGAACCACCACGTGAGAACATGCAGACTCCATGCCGAAAGACGAGGAGTCAGCAGTGCCACTGTGCAGCCCCCTTAGGAAGAATACCTCCTCTAATAACTGAACCAGAATCTGAACCTACTGAAGCTAAAACTGTCAGAAACTGGCATTTTGTACATCTAGAAGAAAATACATTTTTGCTAACAATGCATAAGAGTAATGACATGAAACAAGAAAAACTGAACTATTCAAGCTTTTTCATAATTCCAACTCGAGACGAAATGAATAATAAAAGATTTATCAAAAACATATTTTGACTCTTTTACAGTCTTGTCTGAGAATTAGCAGCATCAACAAAATGATTAACATGCTGGGATTGAACATTGTCAGTGCAGAAGCTCCTTGTGGATGTGATTAGCATCGTGCCTAAATATTCAATAACTGTCAGCGCAAAGTTTGAATTTATATTCTAATTGATTCAACATCTGATTATCAAAAAAACACATGGTATTTGTTGCATAATGGGATATAAATGTATATCCTTCAGGAAAGACTGCAGTCACAGCCAATTTAGTTTATCTTAAAACTCTTCTTCTTATTTTCTGTCCTGTTTGTTTCTCTAATGAAACTTGAGGAAACAACATCGAGTGAAACTGTCTCCATGCTGTCAACCTGCTGCAGTTATGGAATAATCCATATTTTCCACATGCACTCCGCTCTCATTACTTCCGGATTCATTAAAAGGTCAAAACATCAAAAGTCAGTCTGACTTTTACCGTAATAACCCGTGAGCGGGGCTAATTGTCGCAGCGAGCTAACCAGCAGCTAAGTCCTGGCGGCTGCTCCGGCCTGCAGCTGCCCTCCCTGATGAAGAAGGAAAACCTCCAAACCTGATGTGTGCAGCCGATGTTCGGGGCTGAAAGCAGCTTCCAGGATTTCGTGTCTCTGCTGCTCCGCTGCGTCCAGTCGCTGTTGGACCTGCTGTCTCCACATCTCTGCTAGCTTTTCTCTCTCCAAACTTTCCTTTAACAGTTACTGAGCGGTTCCAGCGGAGCCTCAAACCGTTTCTCTTCTTCCCAGAGTTCACCAACTGCTGCTGTTTCCACCTTACAGCTTCATTAACTCTCCCGCTGCGGCTCCGCGGACAAAAACCCGACAAAACACGAAGGACGGCGCTGCAACCGCCGCCATTGTACCGGAGAGAAGCACGAGTCTGCGCACTGGGGTCAGGCTGGACCAACCAATCACGGAATAGAACACCAGGAAGTCCCGCCCATATTAAGTTTCGCCACACGTTTCGTTGCCGCCATGTTCTGAGTGGCATTTTCTTCACAATAGAAACTGAATTTGTAGCTCATTTCTTTGCATGCTGTTTATTCTGTGATGCATTTGAAATGCAGATCTATATAAATATAAAGTATATATTTAAATATATCAAATAATTAAATTAACTTTAATGTGATGAAATAAGCTAAATATTCTTCATGTACCCAGTAAAAGTTAATAAATTTCTAAACCTCCATTGACACAAAAGGTGAATTTTAGATTTCATTTAGACAATTTTTTTTCCAGCCAATTGAGTGTTTTAAAAAAGAACTTCAACTCTATCCTTTAAATTAAATCTAAATGCTTCAGCTATTACAGTGAAAGTTGCACAATAAAATAAAACTGAGAAAGTATATATTTCATAATTAAATCATGTCACCAAATTGATATGAAATCATAAGTACTTTTTCTTTGAAAAAGTACTTATTTCAGATATAAAAGCCGCCGGTGGCGCTGGCGGCGCTAGCTCCAGCCGCTGGCGGCGCTAGCTCCAGCCGCTGGCGGCGCTAGCTCCAGCCGCTGGCGGCGCTAGCTCCAGCCGCTGGCGGCGCTAGCTCCAGCCGCTGGCGGCGCTAGCTCCAGCCGCTGGCGGCGCTAGCTCCAGCCGCCGGCGCGCGCGCGCTAGCTCCAGCCGCCGGCGGCGCTAGCTCCAGCCGCTGGCGGCGCTAGCTCCAGCCGCTGGCGGCGCTAGCTCCAGCCGCTGGCGGCGCTAGCTCCAGCCGCTGGCGGCGCTAGCTCCAGCCGCTGGCGGCGCTAGCTCCAGCCGCTGGCGGCGCTAGCTCCAGCCGCTGGCGGCGCTAGCTCCAGCCGCTGGCGGCGCTAGCTCCAGCCGCTGGCGGCGCTAGCTCCAGCCGCTGGCGGCGCTAGCTCCAGCCGCTGGCGCTGAGACTCATTGAGGAGAACCAATGATGTTTTGTCCTTCAGAAAACAAGCTCACAAATCACCATTGTGGGCTTGTCCCAGACAGTAGGGGGCGCCACTGGTTACAATAGGCTGTGCTGACCAAAGAGAAGCCTGTTTAAAATTCAGCTGAGTCTTTTGCTGAGTCAATGACGGCTGATACATCAGCACTTTGCTCAACAATCTGATCAGTTGATAAAATCAACTGATTATTGTCTGTTCTGCTCGTGATTAAATGCTTCTGAAACCAAATACATTTTTCTGAAAAAAGAAGCTAAAAGGGTTCTGGAGTAAAGGCTCATTTAATTTTCAGTGATCTAAGTCAGAACATGTCAGCGTTTCTTCCTCAACCATCAGAGTATCTAAAGATTCTTCCCTGCTGAGTGGGTCCTCATGTGCATGTTTAGATTTCCTTTTCGGTTAAATTTTTGCCCACAAACATCACAACCGAATGGTCTGTATCCTGCATGGATTTTGATGTGGCTGTTTAAATTTGACTTTTGGTTAAATCTTAGTCCACAAAAATCACAGGCGTAGGGTTTGTCTCCTGTGTGGATCCTCACATGTGTCATCAAAACTGACTTTTGGTTAAATCTTTGTCCACAAACTTCACAGCTGAAAGGTTTGTCTCCTGTGTGAATAATCATGTGTCTGTTTAAAGCAGATTTGTGGGTAAATCTTTGTCTACAAACGTCACAACCAAAAGGTTTCTCATCAGCGTGACTCCCCATGTGTCGGTCTAAATGTGCCTTTCTACTAAATCTTTGTCCGCAGACATCACAAGCAAATGGTTTTTCTCCTGAGTGGATTTTGATGTGTCTGTCTAAATAGGCCTTTTCATGAAATCTTTGTCCACAAATGTCACATCCAAAAGGTTTCTCCCCTGTGTGAATCTTCAGGTGTCTGTTTAAATGGGATTTCCTATTAAAACTTTGTCCACAAACATCACAGCCAAAAGGTTTCTCCCCGCTGTGGATTTTCACATGTCTGCTTAAAAGTGTTCTTTGGCTGAACGTTTGTCTGCAGACGTTACAAACAAAAGTTTTTTCTACTGAGTGGATGATGATGTGTTGGTCTAAATAAGGCTTTTCATCAAAACTTTGTCCACAAACCTCACAGCCAAACGGTTTTTCCAAAGTGTGAACTTTCATATGAACTTTGAGGTGGTTTTTCTTGGTAAAACTTTGACCACAGTCAGTACATTTATAACATTTCAGATTTGTCTGGACTTCCCTCTCCTGGTCCATGTTTGTGTTCTTTCTGAAGGCTTTGCAATCATTCTTATTGCCTTCATCTTGGTTCACCTCATTGTCATCATCACTGATGTCTGTCTCTGAAGAGCTGGAAGCGTCTCCATGAGCGTTTCCATCTGGATTTACGGTGCATTCTGCTCCTCCACAGCCCTCAGCTTCTGTTTTCAGGTTCTTCTGAGCTGAGCTGCTGCTGCTGCTTGGCAGTTCTCCATCTTCTGATTGATGAAGATGAGGGCTGAGAGGCTCCTCTTCATCATCTTCGCTCTTTATGAGAACAGTGATGACTGGAGACCTGGAGGCCTCAGCCTCCTCCTTCACGCTGGGCGGCTCCCCCTGCTGGCTGCTCCAGGGTTCCTCCTCTTCCTCCTTTATGTGGACGGGTTCTGGGTGGTTCTGGTCCAGATCAGGACTCGGTTCTTCTTTAACCAGCAGAACATCTGCAGGGAACACAGAAACACTTTATGTACATAATGAACAATGAAACCTGTTAACATTATAAAGACACTGAGACTTATTATTACATAATAAAGCATTTTGAACTTTCAGGAACAATAAACCAACTGGAGCTTCTGAGATAAACATGTAGATGTTGACATGTCTAGATGTGTAAGCACCTTTTTATCAAATGTCCTAATTTGCTTTAAAGTTAACAGTCAGCAAACCTGAAGATGATTTCTGCATGTTGTTCTTTAAGGAGGCCGCGGTTTCTAAAACTACGAAAGACACAAATCAGAGAAGGGTCAGTCATTCAATTGTCCACTTCTGTATTTTTCTGAGATTCTAAAAACTAAACATGATTTTATGTTTGGGCGATAAACCAAATATTAACCAACACCAAGATTCAAGACTTTGACCAACATTATTTATCCCTCGTCAGTATTTCCATGTGTGGCTTCTGTTGCCACGGCGCTCAGCTCGGTCCTTTCTGAAACTCTGTCCTTTCTGAAACTCGGCCCTTTCTGAAGCTCGGTCCTTTCTGAAACTCGGTCCTTTCTGAAGCTCGGTCCTTTCTGAAGCTCGGTCCTTTCTGAAACTCGGTCCTTTCTGAAACTCGGTCCTTTCTGAAGCTCGGTCCTTTCTGAAGCTCGGTCCTTTCTGAAACTCAGTCCTTTCTGAAACTCGGTCCTTTCTGAAACTTCGCTTCAGGAAGGACTTTTACAAGTTCAATTTCTCAGCCTGTTCAGTTCTTCAACTGCTCTTAACCAAAAGTAAAACAGTTTTTCATTTATTTTCAGAACCAGAACCATCTCCATCTGTTTTTATATGGATGTCCTTGAAGCCTTTGACTAGGCCGTGTCAGTGCTTTGGTAACCATGGAAATCGGACTGACAGCGGCTGCTTAGCCGCTCAAACAGATTTTCCAGTGAAGTTGCTAGGAACGGGAGGTCAGAGGTCGGCCTGTAAATCAGCTGATGAGCCAGCAGGTTGTTGTTCAGGTCAGATGGACGAAGGCTGGACTGTGTGAAGGAAAGTTTGTCTCGGATGTCCAGGCAGCAGGAAGAGGAGCTTCATGGCTTCAGCTTTTCTTCAGTCAAGTCGTGGAAATTGAGTCATTTCTTTGCATTTGTCATGTTTGGGTTCATTGGTACTGGATTTATTGTGGATATGCAGATTAATACTCTATTTTTTTATTTCTCTGTAAAATGTTGGCAGTAATTACATTACACACTGAAGCAAATGCATATTTTTTAACTACCTTTTTTTTTAATCTTTTGTAATAATTACTTTATTAGCCGTTATAATTTTCAGCTTGAATAATTGCTTATTTTTGAATTTGTTTATGAATGTTTCTCAGAGTTTGTGGCTCTAGACTCCATCTGGTTGAACCTGGACTCATTTAGCCATTTAAACAGTGAATTGAAACTAATTTATTGGTGGGAACACAGAGCGGATCATTGAGGAGCTTCAGCTCTTCACAGATAATCACTTGTTGATCAATGGAAGCCAATAACCATCTTCTCAGCCTTTCAAACTTTAAACAAACATGATCTCTGTCGGATCTCAAACTGTCAGAGTGAAAATAAACTTTTGCTCCATTGTAAAAGTGCGGCGGCCATATTGGATAAAGTCCTAGTTCTGCATCCAAAGAGCATCAAGGACCAACAGCTTCATGTTCTCCTGGAGAAGCAGCAGCTAAGTCCTGGCGGCTGCTCCGGCCTGCAGCTGCCCTCCCTGATGAAGAAGGAAAACCTCCAAACCTGATGTGTGCAGCCGATGTTCGGGGCTGAAAGCAGCTTCCAGGATTTCGTGTCTCTGCTGCTCCGCTGCGTCCAGTCGCTGTTGGACCTGCTGTCTCCACATCTGCTAGCTTTTCTCTCTCCAAACTTTCCTTTAACAGTTACTGAGCGGTTCCAGCGGAGCCTCAAACCGTTTCTCTTCTTCCCAGAGTTCACCAACTGCTGCTGTTTCCACCTTACAGCTTCATTAACTCTCCCGCTGCGGCTCCGCGGACAAAAACCCGACAAAACACGAAGGACGGCGCTGCAACCGCCGCCATTGTACCGGAGAGAAGCACGAGTCTGCGCACTGGGGTCAGGCTGGACCAACCAATCACGGAATAGAACACCAGGAAGTCCCAACCACACAGGGCATTAGCGGGACGTTAACATGTCCGCCATATTGGGACTGAATATGCAAATGTAATTCATTTTGGTAAACACCAAAACTGCTTTTAATGTTTCCCATAAATGTAACATCAAGTTTTTGTTTAGTTTGTATTTTTATAAGGAAATTCATTTGGAAAGCTTGTAGGTCATTACCTAATCCAGCAGAAAATGGTTTTCATTTTTGAAAAAGATGAAAACCTGATTTCTAAATTAGACTTTGATCATAAACGTTTGACATTTAAAGAATCTGATCACACAACTAAACTTGGATCTGTTTTCTTCTTATATTTATTTCTAGTATAAATAAGCATAGTAGTCCAAATAAAATGGAAATAGATGCTTTGCCAGATTAGTTTTATGTCCTCATGTCATTATGACCTCTTCACACCAGATAGTTTTGTGGTTACAGGTTTGTTTAGTTGTGATGAAAGAAAGCAATAAAATTATGGAAAAGAAATCTGAACTGGCATTAACAAATTCTGCTTGTTAAAGTCTAGCAAAGATTATTTGCACTTTTTTATGATTTCAAAGTATACCTTTAAGTTTTTTGAAATACACAAAAAAAGTCCAATCAGAATCAGAACCCCCAACGCCGAGGACCTCTGATTGATGCAAACACAGACTTCAGTGTTAAAAATGTTTCCATAGTGACCAAAGTTAGCAAAGACCAACGAGAATCAAACTCAGAACCTTTTAATCACTAACTGAACCTTAGAGCCACCAGTGGAATCTGCACACATAAGATCCATGTTTGCATGTTGAAGGTTAAACACATGGATGTGTAACACAAAGGTATTGATTATGATCCAGCATCACTACCTGCACTTATTGATCTGGAAATGATTAGTATTGTTTTCATTTTACTGACTTGTGTTTATTTGATGCTTAGCCGTTAGCGTTAGCATGGAGTCATTAGCCAGATTACTTCCAGATAATATCATAGTTAGTAAAACTAATATATTATGTTAAAACAGGGATTCCTTTGTTTGCTGATTAGTAATTTGGCTAATTAACGGCTGCAGGGCTCGATTTGACTATCAGTGTCGTTCTGATAAAAAAACGGGACGTTTGCTTCCGGTTTCCTTCCTGCTGAATAACGAGGTACTTCCTGTCCACCAGTTTCACTCAAGTGGACGTGAGGCGGGCTGCAGGCCGGGATCCACCACTGCCTCATCCAGACTCCGGTTTGGTTATGGACATGTAAGAAATGACTTTGTTCCCTCTGCACCTGCTGGGTGACGGCTGCCGGGTTGTATATTATCCGCTGACAGCAGCTTGGGCCGTGATTCTCTATAGTTTTCCTCAAAATCTGTGTGACTGCAGCATGTTTTCTCTGATAGATGCTGTCAATATTGTCAGAGTCCTGTACTTGCAATGCTATTGGTCAGTTGCTGAGAAACGTCCTGATTGGTCTGCGTCAGCTTGGGGGCGGAACCGGCGACATGTCAATTTAAATCCATGTTTTGATTTTTGAATTACAAACATCAATAAAACAAGAAATCATGAGATTCTACTCCATTAAATCTGATAATAAAATGTGAGCTAAAAGCCAGAGCAAATGTCAAAGGAAGATTTCTCTTTATGTTCTAAAATAAATTAGATTTACAGGAATCCAAGTTTTCCAGTTTCATGTTGATGGAGCAAAATAATAAAATGAAAGAAAGCAAATCCTGAGAACATGTTCTGAATATCCCATCAGGCCGATAAAAGTTATGAAATGATTAAAACCTGATTAAAGGTTATTTTCAAAACACTATTGAATATGACTGTAAATAGGATCCATGATATTAACGATGACAGGTTTTCTCAGTCTGAGCTGCGAGTCGTTTCTGGTCTAATTGGAGGTTGAATGGAGTTCTGTCCTTTTTATGTGTCTATTCATATTTTGTGTTTTGTGGCATTACTCCACTGCCTTTTATCCCTTTAAGTGAATTTGACTGAATGTCTGGTGATGTTCCAAACATGTTCAATAAATAAAATGTTTTAAATGGATTTAAAATGGAGAATTTAGAAACACAACTGTCTTCATTTCAATGCAGCTTGATTGACACAAATCCATTGACAGCCATGAGAAAAGGGATGATTTATGATTTATGATCCTGACTGAATCTCTAAAGCAGGACCCTGCAGGACTGGAGGGTCCTGCAGGGTCCTGCAGTTTTTAGATGATCCACAGGAACAAAACGCTGGAATGAAATTACCTCCTGCTTGTGTACATCATTTCTACAGAACCTTATTGCTGCAAAAACAGCAGCAATCGAACTCAGATCCAGAGGAGTTTTTGGGAGGCACTCTAAATGGGCATTTTATTTCATACAAATACATAAACAGCTTTCAAATAAAATATCCATTTTGTTAATTAAAAAACTAATTATATAAATTTTGATATGTAGAAAATGCTTAGATGCTCAGATTTGCATAAATATAAATATTTGCTCATATGTTGCCGAAGTCTGAGAATCACTGAAATCTGTTTCGCTATGCAAAATCAATCTACTTAAGTATAAGTATCATTGGTTCATAATACTACTACTGTTAGTAGAAATATTATTACAATTATTACTACTACTGGTAAAAGTGAGAAGTACAATTTCCCCCAAAAAGCTCCTCATGTAAATGTCGCCACTCGCTCCAAGATAATAACAAAATGTTGTAAATGTGGCATTTTAGCTACGGTAGCTAACGCTGTTTCCCAAAAGCTTCGCTCTACTTTCTCGTTTGTTCAGAAAAAAGCAACTGTGCAAAGATTTTTGCCTTCTTATGGTTTTGTGGCAGGATTCAAGTCCGCTTGGCTGACTGAAGCTAACGCTACACGAATGTTAGCAGCCTCAGTTCATGCTGTAAACATGCAGTGGGAAGTCAGACCTCTTGTCAAGTCAAAGGCATAGCATTTTAGCTAATGTTGGACCCATGAGCCCATGCTAACACTAGCATATTAGCTTCAAAAGACTTTTATGCATCATCATTTTTGATAAAAATCAAACTAACCATATATGCGAGTAGTAAAGGCATAAATGACACATGAAAATATATTGAAGACGATAATTATAATAAGAACAATGTTCAAATTGACAAACATCCTGAACTTTACTGCATTTGCTCCAGGATCAAAAACATTCAAATTCAGAATAACTTTGTCTTGAAGCCAAACATGAACATTGAATAAACCATTCAGTGACACTTGAGGAAAGCACAAACTTAATTGAAGATGAAATATTGGCTTTCAGAGTGCAGCAGGCTGGAAAGCAGGAAGATCAGCTCTGGAATCACAACTGATTTGGAGTGGCCTAATCAAAGCCTGCACCCTCATAATGAAGTCATAGTTTGACCTCAGATAAATTCTGATGTTTATCAGCTGTTTCTGTTCAAAAAGGATCAGCTTCTGCTGCTTCAATTTTAATATCTGGAAGGAAAACATTCACTGCATCAGGCTAGCATAGCCTCACCTGAGCCACACTAGCCTGAACATCAGCTAGCATAAAATCTGGGTAGCAGGACAGCCTCAGGTGACTGTGAAGAGGCTAAAGCTAGCTTAGCATTAGCTGTGTTACCTGTGCAGGTAGCAGTTTACCTGGAATCACGTTTCAACAACTTTTATTATTTTCTGCAATAAAAAACAAACAACAAAACGTTTATACACTGAAACTTATTCAGACTTTATGAATTCATACAATCAGATTTAAACGCATAAACATTTTAAATCAAACAATATTAAAATCATATTGGTAAAAAAAAAAGGAGCAAATTTAAGTTGAAAGAAACTGAAATAAAACATTTCAGTTCATGGAACAAAAAGACAAACTACATGGAATCATTTTTATTTATTTATGTCTAATAATCTGAGCACAATAACTCATTTTGTCTGTATATTAACAGAAGGTAAATATTATAACTTTATTCTTCCTTCTGCTCCTTTTCATTCATAATTTATTTTATTTGTTGCATCAGATTCTGGTTCATTACTGAATTAAATGAAAAGAAATGAAATGAAATAAATTTTAGAGATGGAAGATGAATTCATTTGTTTCGGGGGGGTCAGGGAGGGGGGGAAGCTGCGCGCGCAGCAGCGGAGCGTCACGGTTGTTTGTGTCGCATCAGCAGCGGAGCGGATCTTCATCATCAGCATCTTCAGCTTCATCCAGCGGCTTGTTTCCAGGTGAGACTCCGACCTGCGCGGTTCTGGGCGCTGGCAGCTCGGTTCGGTCCATGACTGGGCCGGTACCGCTCGGTACTGGACGGTTCGTGTTGGTCCTTGAGGATGGAGGTGATGATGAGGAGGGAGGATGAAGGCAGAGTCGCCCTGTTGTTCCGCTGCAGCCTCCACAGCAGCAGTTTGGACCGGGTCTCTGTCCGAACCGAACATCCTGCCTCCTCTTTGGGCTCTGCGGGCTTTTCAAGCGGCTGCGCAATGTGCGCATGTTGTAGTTCCGCTGCGGGGCGTTTCTCTCTTCACTGCGCACATTGATGCAAAACCCGCAAACCGAGGCTGCTGCGGGTCGGGCTGCTGTTGTTGCGGTTCGGGGTCGTTAGAGCGGCGTTCGTGCGGGAGATGGAGGGTTTGGCGCTCTTTCTGCCCCAGTCTGCGCCTGTTTTTGCGCCGTTTGGGTTGCATGTAAAATGGAGGCTGGAGCAGGAGGAGGAGGAGGAAGAGGAGAAGGAGGAAGGCGCCATGACGCCTCATTGCGGCCGCAGGTTGAATAACCAGAACGAACCCTGACATGTTTCACTCCGCTGCTGGTTCCGAACCGGACCAGGTTCTGTCCGGTTCCGGTTTAGTCCCAGGCCAGCGAACCAGTCTGTAAAATATGTTCAGCTGATTGTGGGCCTTTGGCCTTTGACCTCTGACCTTGTGCCAAACTGGTACCAACACAGAACTGGACCTTTAGAGACAAACCAGTCTGACTGGAGACCCAGGAAGGTTCTGATGGGAACAAAAACTGTCTAGGGCGGCTCTCTGCCCAGGACGGCTCTCTGCCCAGGGCGGCTCTCTGCCCAGGGCGGCTCTCTGCCCAGGGCGGCTCTCTTCCCAGGGCGGCTCTCTGCCCAGGACGGCTCTCTGCCCAGGGCGGCTCTCTGCCCAGGGCGGCTCTCTGCCCAGGGCGGCTCTCTGCCCAGGGCGGCTCTCTTCCCAGGGCGGCTCTCTTCCCAGGGCGGCTCTCTGCCCAGGGCGGCTCTCTTCCCAGGACGGCTCTCTTCCCAGGACGGCTCTCTTCCCAGGGCGGCTCTCTGCCCAGGACGGCTCTCTTCCCAGGGCGGCTCTCTTCCCAGGGCGGCTCTCTGCCCAGGACGGCTCTCTGCCCAGGGCGGCTCTCTGCCCAGGGCGGCTCTCTGCCCAGGGCGGCTCTCTGCCCAGGGCGGCTCTCTGCCCAGGGCGGCTCTCTGCCCAGGGCGGCTCTCTTCCCAGGGCGGCTCTCTTCCCAGGACGGCTCTCTGCCCAGGGCGGCAGGGCCTTGGGGCTCCAAGAACAGTAGAACCCAAACATGCAGTCAGTGTGGGGGAGGACGCCCCCTGGTGGAGGCTGCTGTCTGTAACCAGGGAAACACAACATGGAAGAAAATCAGAGACATGAAAATATTAATTGGGTCTCAAAGGTTTAGTCTTTCAACGGCAGATATAATAAATTAAATTAAATACTGTGTTGTTGTAGCATCTTAGCATTAGCTTTAGCTAACATTTTAGCTAAAGCAGCTAGCTAGCAGCTAACAACTAGCTAGTGGCTAACAACTAGCTAGCAGCTAATAGCTAGCGGCTAACAACTAGCTAGGAGCTAACAGCTAGCTAGTGGCTAACAACTAGCTAGCTGCTAACAACTAGCTCCTCCATTCAGCTGCTGTTGCTCCTCCTGCGCTGTGGACTGAACCATTGTTCTAATAATAACTAAACCTGTTTTCTTAGTTTCTTAGATGAAAGTTTCTTTCTTTCTTTTGCCGTTTGGTTTAAATTCAAGGGTTTCCTTCATGACTCCTTTGGTCCGGTCCGGTCCGGTTCATCAGCACATAATGATGGACGGCGCCGGCTCCTTTTTCTGTTTCTGCAAATACAAACTGGATGTCGGCCCTGATCTGGGTCAGAACCAGAACCAGCCTGGTGAAAAACCTGGTGACCCGGTTCTGATGGGACAGACCATCATTCCTCCACTGAACAGTTACTCTGAGTTTGTTGTGATCTGATTTGTTCATGACCTTTGACCTGGGAGTAGAGGCCTGCAGACACAGAGATGGAAGTCATTTCTCTGACCTTCCTGTTCTGACCTCTGACCTCTGCTGGGACATCCACTCCTTGGAAGATTGGCAGCTGTTTGGGGTATTGGATGGCTTGGAGATGACCTTTGACCCTTCCTGTAGACTTTGTGCTCCAGGAAGCGATTCTTTGGATCAGCGCAGCTTTGGTTCAAACATCAGTTAAACTACAGCAATGCATTCTGGGTAAAGAATAAATGTCATTTGCTTGTAAACAGGCATTTCAAAATAGGAACATCTAGAAAACCTGAACACAGATGTTGAGATTTTCTCAACTAAAAACAAGTAAATTAGCGCTTTATAAATGTCCTGCTTAGAGGAAGCTAAGTGTTAGCAACGAAGCTAAGTGTTAGCAACAAAGCTAACGCGTTGAAGTTCTTCTTTACTTCATTAATAACTTTATTGATGCAGCACATTTTGAGCAACAGGGCCGTTCAAAGTGGGCTGAATGAAATAAGTTAAAGCTCAAAGCTAAACGTTAGCTCCACTGCTAGTGTCTGCATGATGCTGGTTGGTTCTGGAAAACCTCTGGAACCAGAACCAGAAATCAGACACAGGGCATTTATTTTTGGGTGCCAGAGTAAAGAGGCTGAATGCTGTGTGATCTGTGTCTTCGCCAGGCCCGACTTCGGCGCCGCTCATCATGACTAAAGAGGAAAACGTGCAGGAGCAGGAGAAGGAGAGGCAGGACCACGAGGAGCAGGAGGAGGCCCGGGTTCAGAGGGAGGAGGACGAGGAGCTGACCGAGGAAGAGGAGGAATATGAGGTAGAGGAGGAGAGGACAGAGGTGGAGAACGAGGAGCAGGATGAGCGAGAGGAGCAGGAGGAAGAGGAGGCTCCTCCAGATGAACCAGCGGCTGAGCCGGTTCCTGAGATCCAGAGTCCGGTTCAGGAGCCGGCCCGCCGGGCCATGGTCCACCCGTCGGCCCAGGCACCGCTGCCCAAAGACTACGGTACGTCGGACCTCCTTAAACCAGCACACAATGCTGGAGACACTACTGGGTCGGGAAGGGGACCGGTTCTGATCCGCTGACGGTTCTGACTCTGATTTATTGATTGGGTCGACCCGGGAGATGCCACAGAGTCAAAAATATTAACCAATCATGAACTTGGTTGGTTCTGAGTCTGAACCAGAACCCACCAAAGGAAGTTCTGTGAAAAACTCATCGCTGCTGCCCCCACGCCTTCCTGGCCGGTACTGCAGCCGATCAATGTTTGCCGTATTTCCACCAGATGTTATCAGAGTTATGATTGGTTGATGATCTGATGATCTTTTGTTGGTGCAGCGGTGCCTCAAACTCACAAGACGAGATTTTAAAATTACTACAAAAATCAAATTTATGCGCAAAAATAATTTCCTGTGTTTTTACAGATTTTGCCACAACTGGTCTTTCTTTGTCTGATTCCGTGAATCTGTCCAGGCCTCAGGACTGAACTTTAACTATGCCCCGTTGGCTTTTGAACATTTGCATTGAGCTTCCATGACGTTGGCGCAGTGTGTTTGAAAACGGGTGATGGGAAAATGCTGGTGCAGAGGAACCTGTTCTGCAGGGCCCCTTCAGAGTTTGATGACCAGGCAGGCTAACAGCGCTTTAGCTTCACTTATCGTGAAGTTAATTACCATAAACCAGGTCATGTTGGTAGCATACGCCGTGAAGTCAATCCCGCCGTCGGCCATTTTGACGATGCTTTCTGAAGTTCTCATGTATCGTCCGTCACTAGGGTCACTTTAACATTCCTTCTGTTAGCAACAGGCTAGCAGCTAGCGAGACAGCAGTCACCTCAACGAGGGATTTGTCGATGCTTTATGTTCTAGTTGCTCCTCTGGTCTTCAGTGTGAAGCAGGAAGAGCAGAAGAACCGGCAGCGTCAGTCCGACCCAACCAGTCGTCATGATCCACTGCCAGGAGCTCAACCGGAGCAGAACTCCTTAGGCCCAGCGATGCCCACTCTTTCAGAGTGCAGGGGCCCCAGAGTGGGTGGGCTCCACAGTGGGCCCCAGAGTGGGTCCCAGAATGGGCCCCACGGTGGGCCCCAGAGTAGGTGGGTCTCAGAGTGGGTGGGCCCCACTGTGGGTCCCAGAGTAGGTGGGTCTCAGAGTGGGTGGGTCTCACAGTGGGCCCCAGAGTAGGTGGGTCTCAGAGTAGGTGGGTCTCAGAGTGGGTGGGTCTCACAGTGGGCCCCAGAGTAGGTGGGTCTCAGAGTGCGTGGGTCTCAGAGTGGGTGGGTCCCAGAGTGGGCCCCAGAGTAGGTGGGTCTCAGAGTGCGTGGGTCTCAGAGTGCGTGGGTCTCAGAGTGGGTGGGCCCCACAGTGGGCCCCAGAGTGGGCCCCAGAATGGGCCCCAGAGTAGGTGGGTCTCAGAGTGGGTGGGTCTCACAGTGGGCCCCAGAGTAGGTGGGTCTCAGAGTGGGTGGGTCCCAGAGTGGGTGGGTCCCAGAGTGGGTGGGTCCCAGAGTGGGTGGGTCCCAGAGTGGGTGGGTCCCAGAGTGGGTGGGTCCCAGAGTGGGTGGGTCCCAGAGTAGGTGGGTCCCAGAGTGCGTGGGTCTCAGAGTGCGTGGGTCCCAGAGTGGGTGGGTCTCAGAGTGGGTGGGCCCCACAGTGGGCCCCAGAGTGGGCCCCAGAATGGGCCCCAGAGTAGGTGGGTCTCAGAGTGGGTGGGTCTCACAGTGGGCCCCAGAGTAGGTGGGTCTCAGAGTGGGTGGGTCCCAGAGTGGGTGGGTCCCAGAGTGGGTGGGTCCCAGAGTGGGTGGGTCCCAGAGTGCGTGGGTCCCAGAGTAGGTGGGTCCCAGAGTGCGTGGGTCTCAGAGTGCGTGGGTCCCAGAGTAGGTGGGTCTCAGAGTGGGTGGGCCCCACTGTGGGTCCCAGAGTGGGCCCCAGAATGGGCCCCACGGTGGGCCCCAGAGTGCGTGGGTCTCAGAGTGGGTGGGTCTCAGAGTGCGTGGGTCCCAGAGTAGGTGGGTCTCAGAGTGGGTGGGTCCCAGAGTGCGTGGGTCCCAGAGTGCGTGGGTCCCAGAGTGGGTGGGTCTCAGAGTGCGTGGGTCTCAGAGTGCGTGGGTCTCAGAGTGGGTGGGTCCCAGAGTGGGTGGGTCTTAACGAGCCTCATTGGATCCAGGCGTTAAACCAGGGAGAGACTAAAACATGCAGGATGCAATCAGCCCTCCAGGTCCCGATCCGGTCTCCCGATCCGGTCTCCCGATCCGGTCTCTGGGTTCTGATCCCGACTCCTCCCTCTGTTAACTCTGCAGCCTTCACCTTCTTTGACCCAAATGACCCAGCGTGTCAGGAGATCCTGGCTGACCCGCGGACCTCCATCCCCGAGCTCTTCGCCATCGTCCGCCAGTGGGTCCCGCAGGTGCAGCACAAGATTGACGTCATCGGAAACGAGGTGAGGACAAACGGTCAGAACCGCAGGAGTTGAGCTGGTGTAGCATGGCAGCTATTACACTGAAACACCTTTCATCTTTATTTCACTGCAATTAAATAACACAAAGAAGTGAATTTGTGAATGAAGTGGTCCTGGATTCGGAGTAAGAACCAAAACATCCTCACTTCTCAAATCAGAACTGACAAGCTCTGATTTTGGTACTTTGTGTCTGAAGGGGCTGGAAGGAGTTAAAATGATAAGGTGAGTCGGCTGATTCTGAAACAGAACCCAGGTTCTGCTGATGAGGCCCAGACAGCAGCCAGACAAAATGGCCGAGGTTTGGGTCTCACCAGACACAAGCGTGACTCAGCAGGACGAAACATGACTTTGCATGACTTTTGCAGTCTTTGACTATCTTTTGTATTTTGAGTTAATTTCAGTTTCTTCCATAAAAATCTCCTGACTCTCCATCCTTTGTGCATCTGTCTGCTTTGAAATGTCAGAATTCCTGCAAATTCCCAGCTTCAGTTCTTGTGAATGTCAGGTGTCTTCAGGTGTCGTCCCAGTCAGCAGGACGCGACTAACTCAGTGTTGGTGTCTCCCAGATCCTGAAGCGCGGTTGCCACGTGAACGACCGAGACGGGTTGACCGACATGACGCTGCTTCACTACAGCTGTAAGGCTGGAGCTCATGGAGTCGGTGAGTCATTCTTCAGACCTTCATCGGTCTTGTTCCGTGGGCATGAAGGGACTGCTGCTAGAGACCCAGAATGACCCCCCGGGGTCCCGCAGGCCAGAGGGGACGCGTTAAGAGTCTCAGGTCTCACCTCCAGTCACAGAAGATCAGAAACTGATCCGAGTCCTCAGAGTAGAAAACAAGATCATGAAGCAAACCAGACACAGTGTTTTCTTGCATGATTGAATTTCCAATCCAATGTTAGGACCATTGTGCAGTAATGTGAGTAAAAGCTTCCCCCGGAGGCGGCGTCCTCCACCAGAGCGGGTTTCAGTTGGACCTCCCTGTGTCCAGGCGACCCGGCGGCGGCGCTGCGGCTCACCAGTCAGCTGATGTCGTCGGGTGCCGATGTGAGTCTGCGGAGCCGTTGGACCAACATGAACGCGCTGCACTACGCTGCCTACTTTGACGTCCCAGAGCTGATCCGAGTCCTGCTCAAAGCCGCCAAACCCAGAGGTGAGTGTGAGCCGTCCCACCAGAACCTCGCTCACCGAGAGTCCAGGACGTCAGGTCAGCTTCTTCTTCTCTTCTCTTCAGTGCTGAACTCCACATGCAGTGACTTCCACTACGGCACGGCTCTCCACATCGCCGCCTCCAACCTCTGCCTGAGTGCGGTGAAATGTCTGCTGGAGCACGGCGCCAACCCCACCGTCAGGGTAAACACCGACTCACCTTCCCTCCTCCGACGGCTTCCTGCAGAGCGGCGGCTCAGAGCGTGGTTTGTTTCTGCAGAATGATAAGGGCCAGGTTCCAGCTGAGGTGGTTCCGGACCCGATGGACATGAGCCTGGACAAAGCCGAGGCGGCCATGGTGGCCAAAGACCTGAAGCAGCTGCTGCTGGACGCCGTGCCGCTCAGCTGTAACCTCCCCAAGGCAACGCTGCCCAACTACGACAACATTCCCGGAAACCTGATGCTGGTGGCGCTGGGGCTGAAGCTGGGTGACCGGGTGGTTCTGGACGACCTGAAGGTAGTCCCACACCGGTTCCTTATTTCCGCCTCCATCAGCCACGTTGAGGTTCACTCATTCCAGAACCCTTTTGTCTCCACCTCAGACCGGAACCCTGCGGTTCTGTGGAACCACGGAGTTCGCCAGCGGTCAGTGGGTCGGGGTGGAGCTGGACGAGCCAGAAGGGAAGAACGACGGCAGCGTGGGCGGAGTCCGCTACTTCATCTGTCCTCCGAAGCTTGGTAAGCGGCGAGCTTCCTGGACCCGGTTCTGGTTCTAATGGATCAGCACTCTTCATGTTTTCATCTGTTTGGACCGTCAGGTATTTTTGCTCCGGTTTCAAAGATTTCCAAAGCTGTGGATCCGACTCCGTCCTCGGTTACCTCTACCCCCAGAACCCCCCGCATGGACCTGGCCTCCCGCCTGGCTGGGAGAACCAAGAAGGAGAAGAAGGAGAAGGACAAAGGTGAGGTACCAGCTGGTCTAACTGGGTTCTGGTTCTGATGGAGAGTTGACTGAGTTGGTTGGTTTGTTCTCAGCCCAAAAGAAGAAGACGTCCGTGGCTAGTCTGGACCCGGAGGGGACAAACGTGGAGGTGGGGGACCAGGTTCTGGTGGCGGGTCAGAAACTCGGCACCGTTCGCTTCTACGGGAAGACGGACTTTGCTCCAGGTCAGTTCTGGTTCTGGACCAACCAGAACACTGAAGCAGAGGTGCAGATGAAGTGAAGAGGAGGTGATGTTCTGGTCTGACCCGGTCTCTCTGGCCTCCCTCAGGGTTCTGGTTTGGTGTGGAGTTGGACCAGCCCACTGGGAAACACGACGGCTCCGTGTTCGGGGTCCGATACTTCAGCTGCCTGCCCAAATATGGAGTGTTTGCTCCGCCCTCCCGGGTCCAGAGGTAGGACTGCCTGACAGAACCGATGTTTCCCGTTGTAATAAGGCGGGCCTGGTTCTGGAGCGTGAAAGTGACGGTTTGGGTCGTTGTTGGTTGTTCAGGATCGGAGGACCTAAAGAAGGCTCCCAGAACGACGGCTCCATGGTGAAGAAGGTTCATCAAGTCTCCGGTAAGTTCTGCTCAGATTGCCAGAAAGAGGAAAGTTCTGGTCCGACTTGAGTGAACAGAACCTGACCCGTTTGTTTCCCGGCAGTGTCACAGCCAAAAAGAAACTTCCACACCATGAGATCTCCTAAAGATCTGACCTCCGAAAGCTCCATATCCAGGTGAGAAGTGGTCTGACCAACATGGGTCAAAGGTCATTTCTGGGTCAGCAGGTTATCGTCTCAGAACCGTTACGGTTTGATCGGATCCAGCTGTTTGGTGCAGCTTTAATTTGAAATGGAAATGGTTTTGAAGCTATGTGTTATTGGAACCGGGTTCTGTCGGAACCGCAGAACCCGGATGGATGAACTAGAACCTCTCCTCTCTGCGCTGCAGGTTGCTGTTCTGCTGCTGGTTTCCATGGATGCTCCGCGCTGAGATGCAGTCCTAACCTCCGCACCGACCTCCACGTTCTCTCCATCGCTCCGTTCTCTCCATCGCTAACCCCAACCCTACCCTGCTGGTGAAGCCCCGCCCCCTGTCTTCTTCTTCTCCTGGTTTAGCCGTTCTATAGCAAAATCTATAGTGCCTTGTATTTGATTAACCGAGTCCAAGCTAAAGCTCTGAAATCCGCCCTGCCTCTCTGGCGCCACCTGGTGGCCTGGAACGGTCAGCGTGTGTTTCCGCCTCATGGTTCTGTTTTGCTGCAATCAGCTGGGAGGATGGCTTTGATCCGGTCGTTCAGAACCAGAGTCTGGCTCTGGACGGGTTTCCATTGTTAGGTGATGATATCAGACCCAGCCGGCTGCTGATTGGGTGAGATCCAGAACTTTGTTTACCCTCCATGTGTTCCTCTAATGTCCTCCATGTTTAACCAGGAAACAGGGTTGATCGTCTGCACTGCTCCGTTTTTACCTCAGCGTTTAGATTTTACAGATAAATTCAATTAAATCCCCAACAAGTTTCACACACCGCAGTAAAAAATCATTTCATAATCAAAATGATTTTAGAATCTTAAAGACGGTCAGAATAAAAAACGAAATGCAGACTTTGATCCATTGACAGCCTTTTACATAAACATTTTATTTATGCTTGTTTTTATATTTCAGAATGTTTAGCAAAATTAAAATGATGCTGCTTTATAATAAGATATTTATATCATGCCTCAGTAAATACCAGAAGGTTCTCAATGAAATGCTTCATTTTAGTTCTGGTTCATCAAAGTCACTTTTTATTTTTACTGCTTGAACATTTGGCCTCAGATCTCACCGTATGCAGACGACTCGCTGCTTTTCCTCTGTTCTTTTGATGCTCACAGACCTTTACAACCTGAAGTTGATCCACACAGTGCTAATTTTTCCTGTTTCTTTTCCACCCAAACCAGATGTTTCTCCAGATGCAACTTGTGATGCTAGTGATGTAAAAGCTAGCGCTACACAGACTCTGGATCTGCTAACTCTGTTGTCTCAGCTAAGCGTTGCTGTTTGTGGGCCACAGTGATAGTGGAAATTTGTCTTTGTACAGTAAACGTGGAGTTACAGTTCACTGTCAGCTTTGTAAACGTGGACTTTCCCTGGTTTGGCCACCAGGTGTCACTATAATCCCCTTTTAGCCTGAATTCTTTGCATAACTGTTTATTTGCAGCTTATAACCGGTTCGGACTGGTTCAAACCGGTTCGGTCTGGTTCAAACCGGTTCGGACTGGTTTGGACCAGTTTGGACTGGTTCAAACCGGTTCGGACTGGTTTGGACTGGTTTCGGACTGGTTTGGACCAGTTTGGACTGGTTCAAACCGGTTCGGACTGGTTCAAACCGGTTCGGACTGGTTTGGACCAGTTTGGACTGGTTCAAACCGGTTCGGACTGGTTTGGACCAGTTCGGACCAGTTCGGTTCTGTAACTACCAGCTGTTAACTTCACTTCCTTGCTGTCAGGTTTTAAAAATACTCATTTCAACATTTTCAAACAGAATTTGCTTCATTAACAACCAACAGGTTCATTTGTCTCGGATGTTATAAAAAACCTTCCAGTGATGGATTCAGTTTTATATCTGTAAATATTGAAACTGAACCAGCAGGAAAGTAAAGCTATCCTTACAGGAACTAACTCAGCTCTGGTTGTTTGGTTGAGTCTTAATGATCTACAGTGTATAGCTTATATTTTGATAACTTCACTAAGTGTCCCTTTTGTTTTGGTATTTTATGGGTCGTGTGTTCGGTTCCAGCCGGTGTGAGTGGGTCGGACCAGTTGGATAAACTCACTGCATGCTCTCTGTCTGTAACCTCCCTCAGTATTTTCTGATTGTTGCGTTTTCAGACTGTATCTTCCTCTCATCAGCATGAAAATGCTTCAAATATTAATAACTATCAATATAATAAAGATTTGATGTTTTTCTAATGTTTCTGTGTTTGCTGGTCTTCACTGACATCAGATTAATGTTATAATCACCATTAAAAGGCCGAATCGTTTCTATCAGTGGTGGGACCTGCTAGCTAAAACATTAGCCAGGCTAATCCTAAAGAGCTAATCCTGCTAATGCTGCAGTGATTCATGGTATTGAGAGGAAGCTAATGCTACAGTGCTAACTTCAACCATGATCATTCTGGAAGATGACACTTTGTTCATGGAAATGTTTTGAAAATTACATTATTAAATGAAAATGTTTCGCTTGGAACAGAAGAATGAGACTTTAGTGACACAGAACTTTGATGTGTTCACTTCTTCAGTTATTTACAAAAACCTGCAACATAAAACCAATTTTCAGATTTTTTTTTATTTTCAACTACATATAGGACATAAAGCCATTAAAAACAAGTTTACATTAATCAATCAGAGATGAATCAAAACCAGTACCGGGTTGACCTGCAGAGATTCCATGTGGCCCACAGGAGGCGACAAAGTTCAGGTGATTTCCTGAAAACCAAAAACAATAAAATGTGTATTTAAAATGTTTACGCTGAAAACAGCTTCATATCAAAGGCTGAATCATGTGACCTCTGTGATGTCATAGCGACAGAACTGCACATGCTCAGACAGTGAACACAAACCCAATCTACAAGCTGAGTGAGCTCATCTGACCTTTGACCTCTGATCAATCAGAGGCTGCTGTTTGAACTTCCTCTCATCTCCTGGATCCACCTTAAATCTGGTCCAGTTCAAACAACAGAACATTTAAGGTGGTAGTTTTTATTTTCCAGTTTGTTATTGAACCAGAAAAACATGAAAAATGTTTCAGTTTCTTGTTTTTCTAGATTAATAACTTCAGGATTTATGTGGTTTGTATCCAGAATGCAGACGAGTAAAACGTTTTATAAATTAATTATTGATGTTTTTTTAATAATAGTTATTCTAATCAGAATGAAGCTTCATCAGGCTCCTTTTTATAGCATAATAACCATTTTATGAATATAATAATGTGCTGACATGTTATGTATTTACCAGGTTTTACACACAAAGAATCTAATATTTCATCCAAGTTGTTGTGGAAATGAGTTTATTAGAAATTCAGAACATGGAGAATCTGGTTCTGATGCCACAGGAAACCCAAATGGTTCACCAGCATGTCACATGATCAGCACATGTTAACTTGTAGTCATTTTCCACCACACTGATTCAACTGCCCTTATATGAAAAAGTCACATTTATTTGATAAAATTCATAAAAAAAATTTAATCAAATATTTCAACATAAAATAAACTATTTTAAAATCACAGTGAAAATGAATTGAAGGTTGAAGAAAACAACATTATTTATAGTTAAAATTCACCAGAAGCAGAACCAGATTCTTCATGTTTTGACTGTAAGATGGGTTCCTTTCGCCGCTGCAGTGAGCCTGTTTGGCCTGCAGGGGGCAGAGCAGACTGGTGGAGCCAGTCAGTAATCTCTCACCATCATCCATTCTGCTGACGAGCACTGATGCTAACATGAGTGTGTGAGGGTATGGATGTTTCCATGCACATATTTATGTGAACCCAGATAAAATGGAAAATTAATTAACGTATGTTTATTTACTATTATTTGTTTTAATAACGAGCCGCGTTTATGGGGTTAGAGTTCATCAGTTTCTTCCTTCTTTGTCTGGGTCTCTCACACACACACACACACACACACACACACACACACACACACACACACACACACACACACACACACACACACACACACACACCCACACACACACACACACACACACACACACACACCCCCACACACACACACACACCGCCACTCCACTCGAGTGTCACAAGGCAATTAGGTGCAGCGCGTGCAGGAGGATGATTGGTGGCTTTGAGGAGCAAGAGGCGCTCTGATTGGCCGGTTTGTGTGAAAACAGGAGTAGTGATTGGCCGGCAGGCTGAAAGCGGCCACGACAGAGAGGTCAGGGGGTCATAGGGTCTGACTGGAGACCTGCAGGTCATTTACCAGCTCAGTAAATGATCACTTTACAATTTCTTAGCTAAGCATGCTAAACTGTTACAAAGTGAGAAAAAAATGCTAATACACTAATCTAAGGATTAGCTCCACTGTTAGCGCTGCTTCAGCCATATTGTGTCTCTGTCCAGCAGTAAGACAATGTCCTCCAGGGTTTCTGACAATATAATAAATAAATACATTTTGGGCCAAATAAAGTAGATAAAATGTAAAAGACTGAACACTGACAGTAAAAATAAATATGAATTTACTGTAACAGTTTTTCTCCCTCAGAACCAGAATAATATTTACATTTTTGGAGATTCATTAAATCATTTATGCTGAGTTAGAATCATGATGAAATAGTAAAAAAATATATTTATTTCTTCAGACTGAAGGTCCAAAGGATGAAGGTGATGGTTCCACCAACTGAACCAAGCTACAATAAAATGAAGCTACAACAATGCTATGCTAAGTAAAGCTATACTGTAGTAAAGCTATGCTACATTAAAGCTGAGCTAAAGTAGAGTGATGCTACATTGAAGCTATGCTACATTGAAGCTGTACAGTCAGTGGACACACCTGAGCCTCTGGAGCTCTGTGTTTGCTGAAGGTTTATGATTAACTCTGAGGTTATAATGATGCATTATGGGTATGAGTCAACAGAACCGCTTGATCCTCAGATAAAATATTAATGTCTTCCTGTTTGCTTTCCTGGACTTCCTGTTTGCATGGAGCTGAACAGCTTTAGGCCGCGTTCCATTCAGAACCAAAGCAAAAGCAGAACAATAACAGAACCAAGCAAACACTCCATTTTGCTGAGATCCATCACGAAATCAGCAATAATCATCTAAAATATTGATCAAACCTGCTGTCATTAAAGATCCTGGAGTTTTTTTCCTGGATTTAAAGGAATCAGGTTTTCGGCTGCTTCCAGTTTTCTGGAAGTTTGTCCAGATCTGTGTCACATAGAATCTGAACGCTGCTTGGCTGTGGACCAGAAACGGGACGCGGCAGCAGCTCCGTGATGCAGATGAGCTGCAGCAGGTGTGTGCGTGAGGGGGCGGGGTTTGTGGTCTACCTGGACAGGTACCCTCGGGTTTCCTGCATCTGGGTTCTTTCAGCTGTTCGGTTCGGATGGTTCTGTTCAGCTGAGACCTTCAGACGGACCGGCTTCCCGCTGTGAGCTCACCCAGCAGGTAAGCCCTGATGAGGTCACTTCCGCCTCCTTCTCACCTGTTCGGCTCACAGTTTGGACCTTTGGACGCTCCGAACCTGCTGCTTGGTTCCGTGAAACCGCAGCAGTTCAGGAACCGGTTTCGGTTTGCGCGTGCGTGCGTGCGCCAAGTCTGACTCATGCATGGGCGCGTGCACGCGGCCATTCATGGACAGACAGACAGAGGAACCAGTGTGAGACAGAAACATGACCTGCTCTTCCTCTCTAGGAAAACATCATCATCATCAGGTTTTTGACCTGAATAAAGTAAGTTAAACTGTAATAAACTAAAAATAAAACTTGTGCAGGTTCAAAACTGGCCGAAATGATCAAATATTACAAAACAATCACATAATTAAACGGGAAGATTTCTGAAGAAATTTAAATGGGCCGTGCCAAAGTTTGCCCTTTGGTTGGAAGCAGCGTTCACATGCTAAAGATTAGCATCAATGCTATGCTTAGCTAGCAATTACACAATAGCATGTTGTCTGTCAGTTTGCTAAACATGGCTAATAAGTAAGACAAATTGGGAAAAGTGTTTTTTTTTAAGTCTAATGCCTGATGCAGGGCAGTGAGATGCTAATGTTAACATCAGGTTAGTGCTAATGTCACTAACCTGAGAGAAAAACATAATAATGGCTAATATTTTCGGTGCACTAACCTGAGAGGGATATTGAGGCTTTTATTTTGAAATTTTCAGTAAGTCTGATTTTAAAGGGCTACACTAACCCTGTAAATAACAGTGGTTGGTTGGGGCAGTTTTATAATGCTCATTGTAGTTCTGACATTCAGCTCAGCCACAGTGATAAGTTTTTGTAGTCCTAATCAGCCGCTCTGCTCTGCACTCCGTTGCAGCCAGTTTGACTAAACGAAGCAGTCGGAACAATTCCTTCCCGTTCGGGAACCGTGATTCGTATCTGAAGAAGGGCCATCTATCTCCGACGATTCATGACTGTACCTCACTCACAGTGATGAGACAAAGATGGTGTGCTCAGACATTTTTGAGAAAAGGATGGAGATGAATGGCTGAGAGCGTGATCTAACTCTAACCCTGTCATTTCAGCTCAGGGCTGATCAATACATCAATCAGGTTTTGAGTCTCTGCAGCAGGTGACAAACTGAAGGCCAACAGGAAGCTGAGAGCAGAACTTCCTCTGACTGGCTTATCAAAATATTCACTAACAACCAAAACGTTTGTAGCTTCATTTATGAATAATATTTTTTTTAAAATAAACAAAATGTATTAAGATTAATGTTCTCAGTAATTATTGTTTCAACAAAGTGTTGCACAATTTATATCCATTTACAAAATAAAAGTGACTGAAAGACCAACTGACAGCAGATCAGGAGTTTAAAGGAGCCACTCAGCTGCCGCTGAGTTCATGAGAGGCTCATTGATAATCAATAACTAAATATCAAGTCTGGAAACCTGATATCATAACCAACTGAATGTTTTTAAAGAGACATGGAGAGTAAAAGGTGTGATGGTTCTGAGTTGATCACCTGTTCAGGTTGTTTTACCTTGTTGACCTTTGCTGACCTTTGCTGTGGTTCATCACAGAGTTTCTGAACGATCAATAAACGATAAACTTGGACTGATGACCTCGTTCGTTTGCAGTAAACGTCAAACATCAATAGGACAAATATATTGATTAGGTTTTAACAAATGGTTTCTGCCACCATGATTATGTGAAAGGAAATGATTTAAATCCCAGATTCAGAAGATTTGCCTTTAACAGAGCTCTTTGGTTCCTCCTATCAGTCTGCAGTT